GTTTGACGCAGGGCTGGCGGCGGGAGGGTCCCCGCATGGCTGCGGCCCGAGGGAAAGAGGCTGGCCTTGGGGAGTTTGGCGCGGGGCCCAGGATTGGGGGGGCGGTAGCAGGGACCTAGGGGTGCTAAAAGGCGGGAGCTGGGTCAAGCCAGAGGACCAATGACATGCAGGGGCCGGCGTGCGAGAGGTCAGGGTACGGCTGGGGTGGACCGGAGGGACCGCGGAGAAAGGGAAAGCGGAGAAGGTATCTAGGGCGGAAAGCCAGGGACGCCAGGATCTGGTCGAGGTTTCAGGGAAGGACGGGCCTAGGGGGGAAAGATCGTGGAGACAGTGAGCAAAGTGGGAGACACGTGGCAGAGAAGAAACTTAAGGTGGAGTGGAAAGTGCCCTCTGGGTACTGTAGGGTGAGAAGTCGAGAGGACCCGAGAAGGAAGGTATTCAGGGCATGTGAGCCTAAGAAAGGAAGGTAGCGGAGGAAGCCCTGGGTGGATCTGGGGGGTAAGGCAGGGGGAGCGACAGACTTAGGAAGCAGGTCTAAACTACAACAGCCCTCCGAGTGCCTCCGCACACAGCCCCATCCAGTTGTTTTCTTCCCGTGGTCTGCTAGAGTTGTAAACTCTAGTTATTTTCTTCCCCCTTGTCTGCTGGTTGTAAACTCTCTCTTTTTGAATTTGGGGTTTATTTTTATCATTACTGGCCCGGTCTGGGGCAATGAAATGCTTAATGGAACATGGACCTTTGGTTATGAGATGTTTAGGAAATACGGTACATTTTTTTCCCTCTCCGAGGTCAAGAATTTACTAACTCTGCTCCCAGAAAGATTTGCTGCTTTACCAACCACATGTGTCACGCTTTGCATACCTTCTTTTGCCTCAGTCCCCTCTCTTGTAAGCAAAACTCTACTGTTTGGACTCTTATTGACTCCCATTTACATGTCCAGCTGTGCCCTACTCTCCCGGCCCTGAGCACTCAAAGCATCGGTGGCAAGCTTGGTGGTCCTGACTCACTCACATGTCAGCTCTAGGTCTGCCATCATCCTGGCCAAGCTGAAGGCCTTTGAGGCCTGGCTATCTCCCCTTACTGCTACTTGCTCACTTAGCCTGGGTGAAGTTCATGTGTTCATATCCTTAGGAAGCGTTAAAAACAGGTGTCTGACTACCTAGAATGTTTCCACTTAACATAATTCAGATTCTGAGGACAAGACCAGATAAAAGTCCAAATTAGACCATCTGAAAGTGTAGCGTCTGTTAGGAGTATGTTTAATGCCTACCAGGAGCCCCTCATCCCTTAATGGGCCTGCGAACCTTGCGTTGTGGTATGTGGTGAACTTCAGCCTTCTCCGCTAACAGCCTAAAACCAGAGAATCCAGACAACTCCCTAGGTCATGAGAACAGTCAGAAGAGTGGCTCCAGAGATAAAAATAAAGTCTTAAAAGAAGAAAATAGCCTTACCATTGGAAAGCAGGAGAGGTTTCAATAGCGCTTCTTGGGTGGGCCCCAGGGTGGTGGGAGCTGCCTTCACTTTGGCAGTTTCAGAATTATATCTTGTTCTAGTCAATAGAGGCTGAAGTCTCAAGCACAAAACATGATGTCTTTGTTGCTCACTGAGGACAGTTAGTTCAATTGTAGCTTCTGGGCAGTCCCCTTCCTCACAGTAGGTTCAGGATACAGCTTGTTTCAGGAGTTGGCTCAGAAATAAGTCCTGACTTTTTTCCAGTAAAAATGCAACCCAAAATTTCTTCTTTATTTCCTCTTAATTTAAATCTGCAGCCCCAAGGGGCGGGGAGGGGAGGAGGGGGGAGATAAATCTGCAGCCCATACTCCCCAACATGGGAGGAACACCCCACCTTTTACACCCAGCCTCTCCCCCACAACATCCACAAAGGAATTATTTTCTCTCAAACTGGCCATCTCTCTTCCCTCAGAACACATACAAAATAGCCAAGGAAAAAATAAAGATAAATTATTGTTGGGCAGCTATTTCTAGCCTCATTTTACTTTGTGGAAACAAATAAGAGTGTGGGATCCTGTGGGTGTAGACAGTGCCACAGGCAGAGGGACTCCCTTCTGTTGGTCTCTTGACCCTGCAGGAGAAGGCTCTGAATTCCAGGCTGTTGGATTTGCATCCTCTTCTCAGAGAGCTGTGGACTCTGTATTGGAAACACAGAGACAAGTTCAAGGTTTATCAGATGAAAACATATAAGAAAGAGTAGCGGTGATGTGAATGGCCTGGTCCCTCTGGGGATAGCATCAATTTGTAAACTCGGCTGGAAGGGTCATATATATGCTTGTGTGATCCTTGAGCCAGGAAGCCCTGTTTCTACCTTAAAGATATTTAGTGAGTGTCTAGGTTGGCTTTCTCCTCAGGCCTATAATCTCTGAAAAGAAACATGGGAGCTAGAGGATTATTTCTTTTCCCATCTATAAACCTGTGTTTCTAGTTCAAGGATTTCAATCACTAAGATGTAAACCCCAAACTATTCATTTTATCACCCAAGAGATTGAGCAAGCAGGGTGGCCCCAAACCTTCCAGCTATGGCAAGATTTAACTTTATGCCACAGTAGAAAGACCCCCCCAGACAACAAGAAATTGGAGATATCTCTCAACTCCATTCTAGCTCCAAGATTCTCCAGCTCCTAGAGTACCCCTGCTCCAAGGCCCTCCACATGAGGAGAGGCTTACCAAATTGGGGTGTCTACTCAAGGTTCTTTGTTATGGAGGAGCCTGAAAACATCTTTCTGGCCCAAACATCAGTGAGCTGTTTTTGATCAACATGCGTAAGGGACTTCTGTCCAGGATTGCCACCAAAAGCAGTTGTTCCCATCTCTTCCACCTTTTTGCCAACCTACCCCAATCAGAGTAATTAATTGAAACTTCTATGTAATTTTAAGATTTTTATTTGAAAGAGAGAAAGAAACATTGATCGGTTGCCTCCTGCATGTCTTGATGGGAGATTGAACGTGAAAACTGGGTATGTGCCCTAACCTGAAATCAAACCCGCCTCCTTTTGGTGTGCAGGACGACGCTCCAACCAGCTGAGCCGTACCCGCCAGGGCGCAACTTCTACGTGATTTCAAACTTCACCTGATATAGCTAACCCTGTTTTGGACATCTTTGGCTTCAAAACTGATCATTATAAAACTCAAATTGAATCCCCCTGCTCTACTTCCCCCAACCCTCCCCAAACATACAGCTGAACACAGTGACTGTGGGGCCTCTCTATAAACACAGGGATTATATACTCAAGAGTGTACTCCACAAACTCAGTATCATCTCATGTGCATCAGACCTAGTGATTTCAACTGTTTAGTTTGGCCCTTTTCTTATTCCGAACGTTCTGAAATGAGGTACAGGAGGACAGGATTGTCTCTCCTCCCACCCATAAACCTTAGCTTTCTCTCTCTTCCACAGTGTACATGGGAGGACAGAGGAGCGCAATGAACAAGAGAAAAGATGCATTCACCTGAGATCTAGGAGGAGACAAAGGTGATATTTTCCCACCGCCCGGGTGTTTTGTTTCCAGCTCTTACCCCTTCTTATTTTAGAGGCTGGCCATTCCTAGAGTGACCTGGGGACTCATCCCCTCTGCACTGCTCCCCACGCACGTGGATAATGAAGCTGAGATGTCTTTGTCTGTGTTATGTATAGACAGAAGGTGACCACCTACGGCCTGATGAAAAAATGAGGCAGATCTTTCTGCTGTACAGACAGACACAGGAGCTGAGAAAGGTTAGTGGGTTTCTTTCAGAGGGCGCTAGGTTGTCCCTAAAGATCATTTCAGAGCCACAAACTGCTCCATGTCCAGGTCTGTTTCCTTGAAAAGGGGTGTGCGGTCAGGTTGCAAACAATGCCTAATTTCACCTCTTCCCTCTACCCTCCACCTCTTCCCCCTCCACAATTTTGCAAAGCCTTGGTAGAGAGCAGAGCCAGCTATGTGATTCCAATCTGGTTTTTCCCTGTTTATTCAGTTCAGAAAGGAACAGGAAGGAGAGAGTGATAGTGTGGGTTTGGTCTATTTGTAGTACCTGAAGTCCTCACTCCCAGGCATGTGGGAAGGTCTGTTTGTTAATAACCACTGGGCTCTACCTCAGATCCCAGGTCCTAAGGCAGACCAGAGAAACAATTTCCACTTCTCCCTGCTGTAGTTCAGGACTAAAAATCAAACAATGGCATGGGTTCTTGACACTCTCTACCTTCATCCTCTTTCCCAACAATATCCCCCTCACCGCCTAGGCTACATGGAGTGTGTTTAAATTTCAATTTTGGAGTGTTACTGGATCAAACCGTTTTCCTTGGAGGATCTGAGGAGTTTTAATTCCTCGTGATATCCATCTTATTTCAGGTTTTCAGAGCCACTACATAGAGAAAACTTGACTTTCTGACATTTTTGTCACCAATAGAACTGCGGGAATGTTTTTTGAGGAGATGGGGATGGTAGTTGATGCCTGACCTGACCTTGGAAGCCAGACTTTGGATTGATCCTCACCTGCTACTTGTCAGGAAGTGTGATTGGAAATCTGTCTGGGAGGGATGCCCTTTCCTGTTCATATGTGACATCGTGTTGATGGGAGAAAGCCAAGGCCATGGAGGACTCTTGTTATGGTGCCAAGTGGATTCAAAAGAACAGAGAAAAAAATATTTGTCTACAGAGATTACAGTGACCAGCCTTTTCTCTGTCCTCACAGAGATACTTCCTTTTGAATTGGGAGACTAGCTGTTTCTAGTCATTTTGTATGCAGCTCGCTAAACTGAATTTACCGTACATAGTGTGCCTACTTTTATCACTGAATCTGTGTTGCTATGAAGCCAGTTTCCTCCCAAGATCTTGGAGCCAAACCTGTCTGGTGTAACTAACTTCTCGATCCTTGTACCTCCTCCCCCTGTGGTATGTCTCCAATTGGCACTGCCTAATTTGACCCAGTTCCTCTAAGGCAGTGGTTCTCAACCTTCCTAATGTCGCGACCCTTTCATACAGTTCCTCATGTTGTGATGACCCCCAACCATAAAATTATTTTCGTTGCTACTTCATAACTGTAATGTTGCTACTGTTATGAATCGTAATGTAAATATCTGATATGCAGGATGTATTTAGGCGACCCCTGTGAAAGGGTCGTTCGACCCCCAAAGGGGACCCGACCCACAGGTTGAGAACCGCTGCTCTAAGGGGACACTAAGATCTGCCTGCCTGGCCAGGCAGGGGAGGAGGTGCTTTGAGGGATGGGGAGCGGGAAGGTTGGGAGGGATGTGCCACCTGGGGATTGAGCAAATAGTGAAGTTCATCACTGATTTGTTCCTCAGAATACCAAGACAGAATCTCAATGCCCTCTGGCTTCCAGGGTTACCAACTGGTATTTAGACCAGTTAGAGGCGGCTAAAGACTTGTTTTGCCCAAGATGTGTCATAGAGCACCTGTTAAAAGCAATTAAGAAGCAGAAGAGCTGCCCTAGCTGGTTTGGCTCAGTGGATAGAGTATCCGCCCAATGACTGAAGGGTCCCAGTTCAATTCTGGTCAAGGGCACGTACCTCAGTTGCAGGTTCGATATTCCTCTCACATCAATGTTCCTCTTATCTCCCCCTCCCCTCCATTCTTTCTAAAAATCAATGGAAAAATATCCTCCACTCTCTCTAAAAATCAATGGAAAATATCCTTGGGTGAGGATTAGCAACAACAAAAATGATCAAATAAAAAAAGAAGCAGAAGAGCTCAGTTTACTGCTAGGAACAAAGTCCAACTCAAACCAACTCCTTCAGATCCTTATGGAATTGTTTTGGGGCCATTTGGGCAGGTGTCCAAGAGTGAGAGCCAGGGCTAGCTGGATGCTATGCTTCAACTGCTCTGCCCACCTAGTGCTTGTCTAGCTAGCCCCTGGTGTTCGTTCTCTCTCTCTCTCTCTCTCTCTCTCTCTCTCTCTCTCTCTCTCTCTCTCTCTCTCTCTCTCTCTCTCTCTCTCTCTCTCTCTCTCTCTCACACACACACACACACACACACACTTGCATTAGCATATTTCTTGGTAGAACCTGTTCAACTTGTTCTTCCTTTTTAAGTAACAGACCCCACTCCCACAGGGATCACACCAAAGGAAAAGATGCCTTATGCCTTAATTAATGTTATAACCAGGAAAAAGCAAGTGATCCATGAAGGCCTTGAGTAATCTGGCTTTTGAAAGGAAGCAAGATGGTTTAACGAAGAGAACACATCTCGGAAAGGCAGGAGACGTGTATACTTTTTCTCAGTCTCACCATGAGCCCTGAGACAAGTCACTTAACTGCAATGAGCCTCAGTTTCTCCAAGCAGAAAATTGAGGAACTCCTACTCACTTTTGCTTCTCCTGCACTCGGGGGGTCAGGGGGTTCTAGGGAAATCACCTGCGGCATCTTGAACTTTGCAGTAATATTGAACAATCCCAAAGGGCAATTATGGAGCTAATGATTTGGAAATGAAAGAGAGTACCAAGCCGCCCTCCCCCATCTTTGGATCTCTGACCACTGCAAGTTCTCTGGCTAGTTCCAGAAGGTACAAGTTCATTAACCCCTGTGGACTTGGGCTCTTTTAATCATTGCCCCTAAGGGAACCTTTTAAGAACCCACTTGTTAATGTGGCTTGTCTGGTTCCAAAGCTCAGTACACCCCAGGGAGGACTTAGAGAAATGTTTTGTCCAGACCCCGTCTTCCTGGGTGAGACTAGCAATCTCTCTGATTAAATCCAAGGGATTTGCTTTGGGAATGTTTCAGGCTTTTCCATGAGAGTTTTTAGAGACGTATGATGTCTCTCAGAACTAGACAAGAATAACCCAGGTGGGGATGCCCTGGTCGAGTGGCTCAGTTATTGGAGCGCTGTCCCATATTCAATCCCCAGTTGGGGTATGTGCAGGAGGCAACCAATAAATATTTCTCTCTCACATCAATGTTCCTCTCTCTCTCTTTTTCTCTCCCTCCCTTTCTCTCTCTCTAAAATCAGTAAAGCCCAGCCAGTGTGGCTCAGTGGTTGAGCATCAACCAGTGAACCAGGAGGTCACAGTTTGATTCCCTGGTAAGGGCACATGCCCAGATTGTGGGCTTGATCCCCAGTGCAATGTGCAGGAGGCAGCAGATAGATCAATGATTCTCTCTCATCATTGCTGTTTCTATCTCTCTTTCCCTCTCCCTCTCTGAAATCAATGAAAATATATTTTTAAAAAACAAATGTTTTTTTAATCCTCAGGTAAGGATTAAAAAAAAAAAAAAAAGGAATAACCAGGGAGGGGAAAGAAGCAGAAAAATAAAAAATAGATTTTACCCCTGTGTGCTCTTCAGAAACCCCACCCCCACCCCTGGCTCTATCAATATAATATTATAAGCAAACCAAATTTGCATCTACCTGCCTCAGTGGGATCCTTCAAAACCAAGAATCTTGGAGGCAGCTTAGGCTATTCATTTCCTTGCCCCACTCTTTTTATTTTATTTTTAAATTAATTTCAGAGAGGAAGGGAGAGGGAGAGAGAGATAGAAACATCAATGATGAGAGAGAATCATTGATCGGCTGCCTCCTGCACACCCGCTAGTGGGGATCGAGCCGCAACTAGGACACGTGCCCTTGACTGGAATTCAGCCCAAACCCTTCAGCCCAAAGGCCAGTGCTCTATCCACTGAGCCAAACAGGCCAGGGCTAACCTGCATTTCAAATTCAGGGTCCCCCCTTCTTTAAAAGCAATAAGCATATCAAAGTATTGACAAGAAGGTGGGGAGGCCACTTAAAGGTTTAATTTGTTTATATACCTTCAGTAGAGAACTCTCCTCACTGAACCTGCGGTGGGCTGCTCTCCTCCACCTTCTACTTTCCTGTCCCCCTCCCTCCTGCCACACACACAAAACAGAATCCCTTGAACGACTGAATCCTGCCTCCTCCTCTTACTACTACTCCTTAACAAGGTATAGAGCCCTTATGGAACTTTTTTTTTTTTTTTTGCCTCTCAAGGGCTGGGCTGAGCTGAGCTGTAACCTGCCTCATTTCCTACAGCATTAGCTCCACCCACAAGGAAAGGGTCCCCTCTCAGAACAACACAACCAGGACCACTCTGGAATGAGAGCATTTCCACCCCAGAGCCTGGGAAACAGAAGGTGTGGGTTGGAAGAGGCCCAGGGTTTGTAAGTCAGGGTACATTGTCTTCCTCACCAGGATAAGGGATGAGGTTTTTCTTCCTCAGAGCACACCTAAGTGATCTTTTAGGTTTCTTGCTAACTCCAGGATGTTAGAGAGAAACCTCTTCCCTTCCCAGTTCTGGCTTCTAATAGCAGCTATTTTCTTTTTCAGCAGAATCTAAGATGGACATAGAAGACTGCAATGGCCGCTCCTATATGTCTGGTATGCCCTCTTGTGCATTCTCTTTGTAAGGGGCCGGGAGCAGACACTCCTGTAGAGCAGCGCCTTCAGCCCCGCAGACCTCTGAGTGCCCTAGTCACAGAGCCGACACCCACACTTGGTAGTGCTTGATAGTAATCATTTATTTTGGTCATTTTACATTCCTTCGTGATTTTCTTCCCAGGCTTCTTGGGTGATAGGAGAAGGGAATAAGAGAGGAATATGAGTAGAGACTATTAGAGAGGAATGATTTGAGGCAAAGAGATGGAAGGAAGATGTAGTTCCTTCTGTTCTCTGAAGTCGCCAGCAAACATGATATTTAATAGAGAGTAGAGCAGGGTTTCAAACCTCAAAGGCCTGTGGGGGGGCAGATGGGTATATAAATGAATGACCTGGGTTAGAATAATGAGCAGAAGAGAATGGTGGGGACTGTCATGAACTGGAAAACATACGTCCTTCCTCAAGGAGCAACAGCTCTTCAGTGTCCGTGTGGGAGTGTGTGTGTGTATCCAGTGTGGCCAAAACTTCCAATTGTTTAAGAGAAATCAAAAATCCAGATTTTATATAAAAATAATGACTCAATTTAAAAAGAATGTTTCATGGGGCAAGCCAAACTTATCTATAGGCTGAATTTGGCCAGCGGACCAATGGCTTACAGCCTTTGAAGTGGAGATACAGAGTTCAATTCTCCTTTCCCCCAATCCTTTTCAATGATCAGAACATACAGCTTTTCATACCTGCCAAATACTCTTACTGAGGCAGAAGAGATCATTGCTCATGGTATGCCTGGCTTTTAGAGATAGGAAAGTTATCAGGATGCTCTCAGAGTTTAACAAGGTGAAAAGAAATGAGGAACTTTATCTGGCTCCCGCTCTGAGGGTATAGGAAAGGGCCCAAGACAGAGTGTGTTTAAGATGGAAGGAATCGTTTTTTGGACCATTAGAATGCCAGGGCAGGAAATGATTATACGAGGTAAGGGAAGCCAGAATCGGGTTTTTGACATGATGAGTATCCCCCTCAGATATTCAAGCACCGTTGTAGAAATGACCTCTAGCTTTTTTTTTTCCCCTCAAGTGGGACTTGTGGAGGAAGTATGGGCATGCACTGAAGGAGACAGCAGGGTGGATCCGGCACACATTTAAGAGTCACTGACAACTCCTGGGTAATGTAAGGGAAGACAACTCTGACCCGTTTTTCCTTTCAGGAGGGAAGGAATTGGAATGGGCAAAGGCATTCAGTCCCTGCCACGTCTGGACAGAGGGACAGGGACCAAGGGGACTGACATAACTGAAAGAGGCTTTATTGGTTTGAAAGCCATAGCCTTTCTGAGGAACCAGCCAGCCCTCCCACCTCCTGCTCATTAAGCCTATTCAGAAAACCACTGCAGAGCAACAAGCTCACTCAGGACCCTGCTTTATTGCCGAGGACCGCTCAGGCGGATGAAAACCGGTCCCTGCTCCATGGTAGGCAGAAGAGAAACCAGGAAGGTGGGCGAGGAAATACGACAGGCTCTTTTCAGTCCTGTCTCTGGAGAATCATGGATATTAGAGGAAAATTTCTGAGGGTGTTGCTTTCCTGTGCTATGAAACCAAACTTCCCCTGCTTTCAGCAGGTTGGCATGTCCTGTGTAAGTAGAGGCCTCTGCACAGGATGGCTTTTTGGGTGACAGTAGAGGTCAGCCACCTCTTACCTGTGTTTTGAGAATTCTAGACGTCAGCAGCTCCCTTAAAGAGGGAGAAGGGAAAACCCAGATAGGGCCAACATGAGCCCTGAAAAGTAGCAGCCCCTACAGAACTGAGCATGGCCGAGACAGCCCACCGGCGGGGCATCTGCCCCATGTCTCCTGGAGTGGTCTGAGGCAGCCGGGGAGGCTGACGCAGTGTACACCCTCCCAAAGCACCCCCGTGGCTCCTGCGAGGCCATCCCAGCTCTTCTGCCTCCACAGCCGGTGGCCTTTCCTCGCCTGGCCACTTGATGAAGGGCGTATCTCTCCTGTTCTTCACCCGGGTTTTCCCACCTCACAGAACCCAGTTCCGAAAGCCCATCTTTCCTAAAGGTGCAGATGATTCCCTCCTGGGGGAGAGAGGGAAGAGTCATTAATTTACCATCCAGAGCTTCTCCCTGCCCCCATTCCCTCTTTCCAGGGAAGCCGGGTTGCTGGGACTGGCTCATACAACTGTTTGAGCAGTGCTTGTCCCAAGTTTTCTGGGACCCTGAAATGTTCAAGGGAACATCAGTAGGAAGAGATCCAGGGGTAGGCAGCCCAAAGTTTCACAGCCCCTCCCACCCCCAAATTCTTGGAATCAGAAAACCTAGTCTCCAAAGTAGGTCAGCACGTCACTGAGCAGCTCCTCTGGAAGGAAGGGAAGGGAGCGGAGGCCTTGTCTTGATAGAGGGCGGATTCATCCAGGGCTGCAGGCAGGCGGCCGGCCCCAGGGGCACGGGCGGGGAGGGGCGAGGAGACGAGACCAGCATTTTGCCGGGGATCTGAAAGGGCTCAGGGCCACGGAGCCACACCAGCCTGGGACCAGACTGTGCTGAGCCCTCTCGCAGCTGAGAAGGAGGGAACTGTCAGTCCCCAGATCCGACAGAGCGACCTCCCTGCTGGAGGAGGAGGGAGAGGAGGGAATCGGAGTGCCTGAGTTTGGTGGGGGAGGGGCTTTCTGCGGATCTGAGAGCCTTGAAGCTGCCCCGTGTCCTGGGCCCCATGACCTCTGGGGGCCTTGGCTTCCCCAGCTGGCGGAGGATTGGGCCTTCCCTGGGGGCCCCCTTTCTCCCTCCCACCCCGAGGGCCCATCCATCTCTCTCTTGCACACACTTGCTTCTCTCAGGCATTTGTTGTGCAGTTCCTCTTTGTCTGCTGGGCACGAGGGCAACGGCATCTGCCTCCCGCTCCCTGGCTCCCTGTGCACACCCCCCACCCCGCCCCTGCACTGGCTTGGG